AAATGAAAAAGTGGAATAAAATGTAATGGAACACATTGAAAACGCCTCTAAACGCACATGCATTCAGAATACTGAAATTAAAATGTGCGGTTTTGTTTCATTCCGAATCCAAATTCGCACAAACTTTTAGTCATTTGGATGTATTCAAATCCGATTTGTATTTGAATTTCCCAGTAGAAATAGCAATGAATTTAAACGAATCAAAAATAGCGAAACATAAATTTGTCCGAAGTGCGAATCAAATACAAATCAAATTTGAAAATCAATTTTGATAACAAATTTGTAATATAAACATATTGCTGACTATTGGGCTCCTTTCACACGAGTGTTCCATTTTTTCATTAATTCAGTCGTGGGTTTTTTTCAAAATCAGAGCTAAACAGATCAAGACTTCACTTTTTACCTCCATTTTCATATCCATTTACATCCGTTGTTGATCCGTTCACATCCGTTATTGATCCGTTTACATCCATTTTATCCATTTTTGATCCGATTACATCCGTTTTTTAGCAGATTGTGATCCGTTTACATCCGTTTCACAGCTTTCATTTTTTTCATGAGTCATGCAAATTTCACAAGACACTTTGCTCTAACCCAGCATGCATTGTGCTTCCCATGCTGCTTTGCAGTCTACTACAAGGTGTACTACAAATCTCAGCATGCCCCCCCCCCCCCCCACGAACACCTACCACGTTTTTCACGCTGCCTTGCTCTGAGTGATGACCAGTTAGGTCCTCAATAAATATTTCTTCTTTTCTTAGTGATCCTATCTCTGTTGTCATGACAGGAATTGTCCCATAAGGATTATGGCCTGGCATGGACCAGGTTAATGAATCTCTCATGTGAAACATCTTTGACCATGTCTCCATCAAAGCTGATCTCAGAGGCATGTCACTTATTCTCTGACCACTACCTGGGTCATGGGTTATTGTTTTATTGAAAATTTAAAAAAAAATGCTAATTTGCAGAAAAGCAGATATTAGCGGATTGGATGTAAGTGGATGTCGTCCACTAACATCGGTTTTTTCGTCCATTCTTTTTTTTTTTTATGGAAGAAAAATAAGAATTACTTCCTTTCAAAACAACAGATGTTCACGGATGCGGACATTAACAGATGTAAACAGATGATCATCTGTTTACATCTGCTAGTCGATAGAAATACATGGATGTCCATTTTTCATCCATAAACAGACGGCTGAAAAACTAACATGCAGAACGCCCATGTGAAAGGACCCTTGCTGATTTCCTTCAAAGACTGTGTGTATTAGTGTTGAAATATAACCATCTTCCGAAACTTGAAAATAATAGAGTAGAATAAAACAGAACAGAATTATTATTAATATTATTATTATACAGAATTTATATAGCGCCAACAGTTTGCGCAGAGCTTTACAATATAAGGGAGACAATACAATTACAATACATTTCAGTACAGAAGGAATAGGAGGGCCCTGCTTGTGGAGCTTACAGTCTAAAGAATAGAATAGAAAGAGTAGAAAATAAAAAAATAGAATAGAACAGAAAATAAAGGAATAGAATAGATTTTAATAGAATAGAAAGAAAAACAGCCGTCTTCCGAAATGTCATTTTCTAAAAGAATAGAATAAACCAGAATAGAAAAGAATAGAGTAAAACAGAACAGAATAGAAAATAAATGAATGGAATAGAAAAAAATAGATTAGAATAGAATAGAAAGAATATAACCATCTTTCGAAATTTTGAATAGACTAGAACCAGCTATTCTTCACAATGAATTTGGATTGGATTGATTCGAATTAGATTTGAATACATCAAATCCACTGGAAAAAAATTTTAATCCAGTCGAAAATGAAATAAAACAAATTTTGTTATGAATGCAACGAAACGAAATTAGTAACTTAACAAATCGATTCACACAACTAAACAAAATTTTTTTCATTCTGCACATATCTAAATTGAATCAGCCCTAAGCCTGCATTCACACCTAAGTGACGCGTTGTGTCGTGTTTTACGTTGCGTATTTTTAGCACGTTTTGGCACTGAACCAAGTGCTTTTGATGCACATTTTTGCGTGTTTTGCTTATGTTTTGTTGCACAGAAAACATGCAACAAAATGACCTACTACTACTTGCATTTGGGGCGCCATTCACTGCTTGCCCACCCGCTCACAGTACATCTACTGCTAGTGGGCAGCTGCTGCAGGCGGGGCAACGTACATGTACATAACTGCCTTCTTCTGGATTTTCTGGCCCATGCACACCCCCTGCTGTGATTGGACACAGCAGGCTGAAACCTGCTGCTTGGCTGTGTCCAATCACAGCACAAAGTTTTATGTATACAAACATACAGAACTCTGTAAACAGAACATAGATCTGTAAGCAAGGCAGCACATATTACACTTGTTAGGCACACAGTTAAACCCTTCACAGCCATTGTCATTACTACAGTATTATCACTGAACACTGTATTAGTGTCAGTTAGTGTCCCTCCCAACCATTGTCTATTGGTGCCAGATTGCCCGCAACACTATCACAGTCACACTAAAGTCGCTGATCACAACCATTAAAAGTATAGCGTTTATAGCTGCGTAAACTTCCGTTCATATACCATAATGAGTGGATGCTATAACCCTCACACAAACCAATCAATATGCACTTGTTGGAATTTATTTCTTACCAAAGGCATGCAGCAGAATATATTTTGACCTAATTTATGAAGAAATCTGATTTTTTTTAAATTTTTATTGGATATGTAACAGAAAGTAGAAAATGTTGTTTTTCGACATTTTTGGTCTTTTTTAATTTATGCAATAACAAATTAAAAGCCCAGTGGAAATCAAATACCACCAAAAGAAAGCTCTATTTGTGTGAGAAAAAAATGATACAAATGTAATTTGGGTACAGTGTTGCATGGCCACGCAATTGTCAGTTAAAGTAGCACAGTTTTGAAGAGCAAAAAATGTCCTGATCATGGAGGGGGTAAAACCTTCCAGAGGTCAAGTAGTAAAAATGAATGACACTGTAAGTGCAACATGTTTTTCCAGAAACACAGGCAGAAACTCATGTTTCTGCCAGCGTTTCCATGTTGCTCATGTATGGATTTTCTGAGGCCCCAATTCACACCTAGCGATTTGGACTCACGGTCAGGATCAGAGCAATTCTGGATGCCATTCCAAAGTCACACTAACATTGCCGCAAAATGTGTGATGCAAGTTTGGGTACCATTAATTCTTAATGGCACCCCCAAAGGTGGTTCAATTTTCCCAAGATTGCCAGGTGACAAAAATGGGTGGAAATTGTGACAAAAATGGATGGAAATCCTGGCAACATGTGTGAAAAAATAGCACAAAAAACCAAACAGGTACAGGAGCTTCTTCTGCATGACAAATGCCTATAAAGCTGCCAATTCAAGTGAATTGGCTGCCACATGCTTGACAAATCATCCCAAAAATTCACAAGTGTAAACGTGTTTTCCTGCTATGTGAAGTGTGAATGGGGAAATTTTTTAAGTGTCAAAGTATAAAAAAATAACTAAAGAAAATTAACAGGAGCCCAATGAAAACACATCTAAACTCACATGCAATACCAAGCCCTGACACTTCCCTGGTCAGTGGTGTGAGTCCGGGGAGGTGCTCTAGACATGTGTGGTATGTTTTATTCTGATTCAAAATTTGGACAAAATTTTCATTACTTGGAGATTCAGATGTATCCGAATTTTCGAACTACAATAGTAACAAATTTAAACAAATCCAAAAACACTAAACAAAATTTTGTTTTAAAAAAACTAAATCGAATTAAAAAACGAATTTGAAATAATAACATATTGCTGATTTCTTTCAAAGACTATGTGTATTTGTCTTCCAAAATAGAACTTCGACCACCAGGTGGTGGGAGGAAGCCGGCTGCCAACACATGTTCTTCCCTGAGGTCAGAGACATCGGCCTGAGACTGAAGCTGATCTGCACCCCGGGGGATGGAGAGCAGTTTGGGGATAGTCAGGAGGTGGCCTGTCCAGTGGAGGCCAGTCCCAAGGCCTGTACATTCGATGAGCAGCACCTGTATACAGAAAGGCCGGCAGAGGTCCCGGGTAGTGTCCTACAATGTGTTGGCTGACGTTGTACACCCAGACCCAAGAACTATGTGTATTTGTCTTCCGAAATTGAATTTCGAGAAGAATAGAATAGATTAAAACAGAATAGGATAGGATATAAAAGAATGAAATAGGATATGAAAGAAAATAATAGAATAGAAAAAATAGAATAGATTTGAAAAGAACAGAAAGAATAAAGCCATCTTCTGAAATTCACATTTTGAAAGGAACAGAATAGAATAATGTAAAACAGAACAAGATAAAAAATAAAAAGAATAGAACAAAATAGAATATAAAATAAAAAATTAAAATAGAAAAGATTAGAACAGAAAAAAATAGATTAGAAAATAATGGAATAGAAAAGATTAGAGTAGAATAGTTTAGAATAAAATAGAATATTAGACATCTTCAGAAATTTGACTTTTGAAATGAATAGCATAGGATAAAACAGAATAGAATAGAAAATAAAAGAATAGAATAAAATAGAATAGAAAATAATGAAATGAGATAGAAAATAATAGACTAAAAAAAGAATGGAATAGAAAGAACATAACAGTCTTCCCAAATTCGAATAGAATAGAGCCATTTTTCACAATGACTTTGGATCATTTCAATATTTTTGAATTATGAAAAAATGGAACAAAAAACAAATTTTGTTAGGAATGCAACGAAACTAGTAACTTAACGAATCGATCTGAAACTAATGTTTTGGTTCGGCACATGTCTAAGGTGCTCCAGCAGGGGTCGCTGCAATGATCGCTGTGACACCTCTAATCACAGGATCTATGTCTCGGGTGGTGCTCCGGGAGAGGGCGCTGCTATCTTTGTCATGAGGTTGTGTCCATGGAAGTACTCCAGTAGGGGGCGCTGCGATGCTCGGCCTATCCCGATTGATTGCTTGGGCGCTGCGGCTGTCTGGCGGGGCCGGTGCCATGGACCGGGCGGTGGTTCGGGTGGTCCCCTCCGAGCCCAAGCTGAGCATCTCCCTGAACCTGTTCGGTTCTAATCGGCAGCTCCAGCGGGACCAGACGGAGCCAGTGGGGAAGGCCCTGGCCCGCATCTCCGCCAGCGCCACCAAGAGCAAGAAGCGGAAGGAGCCGGTCCCGGGGCCCCCGGTACACCTCTTCTACCGGGGACAGCCGGTGCCGGAGGCTCTCCCCAACGCCGAGGCCTGGCAGGATGGCGCCGAGCTGGTGGTGGAGCGGAGGACATACCGGGTGGAGCGGAACCCCCGATGTGTCATGAACTAGAACTGCCCCGGCACGTCATGGCCGGCTTCCCGCTGTGCCCCCGGATCCGGATGGAGTTCGCCGATCCCGATCGCTCCCTCTTTGTCTGGTACAAGCAGGCCCGAACCGGGGACTCTCCTGACCGCCAGGTCGGCCCGGAGTGGGAAGAAGCCGGCCGCCAGCGCGTGTTCCTGCCGGAGGTTGAAGACATCGGCCTGAAATTGAAGCTGATCTGCACCCCGGGGGACGGAGAGCGATTCGGGGGGAGTCGGGAGGTGGAGGTGGCGTGTCCGGTGGAGGCCGGTCCCGGGGCCTGTACGTTCGATGAGCGGCACCTGTACACAGAGAGGCCGGCGGAAGTCCCGGTAACCCGGGTGGTGTCCTACAATGTGCTCGCCGACGTGTACGCCCAGACCCAGCATGCCCGCACCGTGCTCTTCCCCTACTGCGCCCCCTACGCCCTGGACCTTCACTACCGCCACTGCCTCCTCCACAAGGAGCTCTCCGGTTACCGGGCCGACCTGGTGTGTCTGCAGGAGGTGGACCGGACCGCCTTCCCCGACACCCTGTGCCCGGCCATGGAGGCATTTGGGCTGGATGGACTCTTCCTCCTGAAGGGCAAACAAAATGAGGGCCTGGCCACCTTCTACCGCCGGAGCCGCTACCGACTGTGTGCGCAGCATGACGTCCTGCTGGGGGAGGCGCTCACCGAGGACCCCAACCATGGACCGCTGCTGGACCGAATGTCCCGGTACCCCACCGCCATGGAGAAGGTCCTACAGAGGTCCTCCGCTCTACAGGTATAGGGGAGGGGGAAGGGAGACTGGTATAGAGGGTCCCGGGGGGGGGGGGGGAGAGTGATTATAGGGGGGGTGAAGACTGATAGAGACTAGGGGGAGGAGAGTGAAGACTGATAAGGGGGGCGGGGGAAGTGATCATGGGGGGGAGATAGGGGGAGGGGGGACTGATAGAGACTAGGGGGAGGAGAGTGAAGACTGATAAGGGGTGACTGGGGGAAGTGATTATAGGGGGAAGGGGGTGAAGACTGATAGAGACTAGGGGGAGGAGAGTGAAGACTGATAAGGGGGGCGGGGGAAGTGATTATGGGGGTGGGGGACTGATAGAGACTGGGGGGGAGGAGAGTGAAGACTGATAAAGAGGTACTGGGGGAAGTGGTTATAGGGGGGAGGAGGGCACAGATTGATAAAGGGGGACCGGGTTAGATGAAGACTTATATAGGGGCAAGGGGTGAAGACTGATAAGGGGGGAGGGGGTGCAGACTGATAAATAGGGACTAGGGGGAGGAGAGTGAAGACTTAAGAAGGGACCAGCGGGAGGAGAGCAAAGATTGATAAAGAGGGACCAGGGGGAGCGAAGACTTGTATAGGGGGATGAAGACTGATAAAGGGGGACTGGGGGGTGAGGGGGTTGGGGAGGAGAGTAAAAACTGATAGAGGGACCTGGGGGTTGTAGAAGGGGTGGGACCGGTACAGCGGGACCCGGGGTTGTAGAAGGGGTGGGACCGGTACAGCGGGACCCGGGGTTGTAGAAGGGGTGGGACCGGTACAGCGGGACCCGGGGTTGTAGAAGGGGTGGGACCGGTATGGTGGGGCTGGGGTTGTAGAAGGGGTGGGACCGGTACAGCGGGACCCGGGGTTGTAGAAGGGGTGGGAACGGTACAGCGGGACCCGGGGTTGTAGAAGGGGTGGAACGGTACAGCGGGACCCGGGGTTGTAGAAGGGGTGGGAACGGTACAGCGGGACCCGGGGTTGTAGAAGGGGTGGGACCGGTACAGAGGGACCCGGGGTTGTAGAAGGGGGGTGGGACCGGTACAGCGGGACCCGGGGTTGTAGAAGGGGTGGGACCGGTACAGCGGGACCCGGGGTTGTAGAAGGGACCGGTACAGCGGGACCGGGGTTGTAGAAGGGGTGGGACCGGTATGGTGGGGCTGGAGTTGTAAAGGGGAAAGACTGTCTTTGGGCTTTCCAGTATTTCTTCCAGTACCAGGTCTGATCCAAAGCTCGGCAGCCTGTGCAGTCCTTGTGTTGTGGAACTATCATTCCCAGCATGCTGATAACCAAAGGAAGATCAAAGATATCAGCTGTATAAGTCATCTTCTGGACAGGAAATATCAGAGTATGTAGAAGAATAAACATGAAACTGGAAAAGAAGCACACAGCTGACGCAAACACCTAGTGCATTATCCAAGGTTTGTTTAAAAATGTAAAATGACAAAAAAACATACCCGCAAAATGAAGTGGCAGAGTATCCGACTAGTGGTGCGGCTAGCCAACTGACGCGTTTCAGGGATGTATCACGTTCCTCAGCTTCGGGGGAAGTGATTATTGGGGGGGGGGGGGGGGGGGGGGGGTACTGATGAATAGAGACTAGGGGGAAAGAGAGTGAAGACTGATAATGAGGGACTGGGGGGCTATCCTCAGAGCTCTGAGGAAGGGGATACATCCCTGAAAGGCGTCAGCAGGCCGACTGCACCACTAGCCAGATACTCGCCCATCCTTGTGGCTTTTAGGCATTTATATGCACTTCATTTTGTGAGTATGTTTCACATTTTTAAGTAAACCTTGGATAATGCGCTAGGTGTTTGCGCACCTTTTTCAGTTTTGATGATTTCCCTGTCTGAGGAGGGCTGCATCACCAAGACTTCATCCCAAGGCTATCAACACATTGGATTCCTTGGCTTCTTCCTGGCATGACCCCCTTTGAGGCGCTGGAGACTTAGTGCTTCTAGAAGAATAAAGATGACCTGTCCATTGTCTTCACCTCTGATCTTCACTCTCTTCAACCCTGATGAAGAATCATCTGCATACATCACAGTCCCAGATGTGTGGGATTTCTGTTCCCTCTGAGCACTGTAGTGCCATCAGTAGGCTCCTCATCACCGCAGTGTCCTGTAGTGAAGTAGGGCTCAGTAGATGGAACCATAGAGCCCAGGAACAGACATCCAACATTCCTGGAGTGAAGGATGACAAAGATCCTTCAGGACAGTGTAGGCCAGTGGTGAGGTCAGTAAGTATTCCTTCTCCTACACACAGTCCTTATTTTATTCAGTTCTAACAGCAGAGTTGTTTATAACCAGAGATTGTGACCCTCCCCCACTGTGTCCAAAACCAGGAAAACGTTTTGGCTGAGGACCCACTAACCCTTTCCTGTCAGCATACATGTGGCAGCACAGAAGATGCTTTCCAGACACTGGGAGTTCCTGTGATCACACACAGCTTGCTGGAAATTGTTACTCTTTTCTCTGGAGAAATGGTAACAGACCTATCTGCTGTCACCTATTAGTGGATTCGTGGGTGACAATCATCATGTATTAGAGGTCTGTCCTATCTCTGCTCTTTGTCTTCAGGGAGAGGTTTGTTGGCTATACTTCTTAGAGTGCAGATATTACTGTATCATCAGTGGCCTCAATAAAAAGAATTCTCTTGTTTTGTCATTTTTAGGTGACCGTTCTGGAGTCTACAACAGACCCGTCTAAGAAAATCTGTGTTGCCAACACACATCTTTATTTTCACCCCAATGGTAGGTTTACCTTCAGCTTTATTTATAATGATCCTATAGTAATAGATCTCTCATTCAAAGCCTCTTTGTAGATATGTACATGAGAAACAGTGGGCCTTACAGACAGCATACAGTGTGTATAAAAAAAAAAAAAAAAAAGAAAACTCTGGTAAACACAGTGATACAAATGGACAGGATGTACTCTGGTAAACACAGGTGTTTCATACAAATCAATGACAGGATGCGGCTGCACTCTGGTAAACACCAGTGTTCATACAAATCAATGACAGGATGCGGCTGCACTCTGGTAAACACCAGTGTTCATACAAATCAATGACAGGATGCGGCTGCACTCTGGTAAACACCAGTGTTCATACAATCAATGACAGGATGCGGCTGCACTCTGGTAAACACCAGTGTTCATACAAATCAATGACAGGATGCGGCTGCACTCTGGTAAACACCAGTGTTCATACAAATCAATGACAGGATGCGGCTGCACTCTGGTAAACACCAGTGTTCATACAAATCAATGACAGGATGCGGCTGCACTCTGGTAAACACCAGTGTTCATACAAATCAATGACAGGATGCACTCTGGTAAAACACCAGTGTTCATACAATTCAATGACGGCTGCACTCTGGTAAACACCAGTGTTCATACAAATCAATGACAGGATGCGGCTGCACTCTGGTAAACACCAGTGTTCATACAAATCAATGACAGGATGCGGCTGCACTCTGGTAAAACCAGTGTTCATACAAATCAGTGACAGGATGCGGCTGCACTCTGGTAAACACAGGTGTTTCATACAAATCAATGACAGGATGCGGATGCACTCTGGTAAACACAGGTGTTTCATACAAATCAATGACAGGATGCGGATGCACTCTGGTAAACACCAGTGTTTCATACAAATCAATGACAGGATGTGGCTGCACTCTGGTAAACACAGGTGTTTCATACAAATCGATGACAGGATGCGGCTGCACTCTGGTAAACACATGTTTCATACAAATCAATGACCGGATGTGGTTGTACCCTGGGTACAACCGAATCCTGTCATTAATTTGTATTCAACACCTGTGACTCCTAGGCACAGATATTCAGCTGGTTTTTATACTTTACAGCCCTCTGCGCATGTGTGAATGAGCCCTTACGTAGGAAAGCCTGCTAAAAAGAAAAAAAAAAGAACCCACTGTTCTCTGTCCATAGCAAACCAGTGCCTGTGCCTAGGATCTTTGCTGTCTTGAAGAGGTACACTGACTAAAAGATCTTCATCTGCCATTTCTCGATGTATCAGATGCCTGAGTCCTTGCAGAGATATGATATAAAGACCAGGGGATGGAGCCACAGGGAGCATCGTGCTTTTCAAATATTTAGCAGTGTGCAATGGAAACACAGTACAGAATGTGGCTGTTATGGACAACACAATTTTTCTGAGGGCTGATCTTAGACAATTGGTGGAAGAAAAGGAGCAGATGTGGAGCTGTTGCCCAAAGAAATCAGTCTTCTTGTCTGATACTGTCAGGGACAATAAAACTTATGCAGGCCATACATGGGCCGAATGCTGAAAGAATTTTCTTTCAAAAATCGTAACTAAGAATCTTTGAGTTTCACACCATTAGTGGGCTGCAGCATCAGACGACGTTCGAGTGATTAGGCATGTTGGAAATTTTTTGAAAAATGAATACATTTCTGATCAATGATGGGAGACTTGTGTGAGAAATATCAAAAAAGAAATGAGCATGAGCTGTGACCTGCAAGAAAAGAAAATTCCCAGCCATGAAAATTCTTTTCTGTAGCAACATGAGGTGAAATTGAAGGCTTGGTTGGTCGAATTTTGAAATCAGTGGTGGCACCATCAGTTTACAAATGCACAAATTTATTCAGAATTTGACCCTTGTATGGCCTGTATTAGTGATATTAAACCCTCAGTTTTTTAAAACTTTCAGCAGATGATGTAATCACTGAGTATGCAGTTTCTTTGTCTTTTATTCTTTCTCAATGTTACAGATGAAGCTGGTGCCAGGACTGCTGCTCCAGGTTTTGTGTTTGCACTCCTGTGATTTATTTTCAGCCGACAGCGGACTAAAGCCTGCTGGTGGCTGACATCCCAGAGCCATATGGTCGAGATCAACCCAGAAGCCTGTCTCAGCCTCTCGGTGATCAGCAGAGAACCTAAGCCAGCCGTTCTCGCCCCCTCCACAGCCCAGCACTCCAGTGAGTGTTGGAGGAGCAGAGAAACTGACTGATAGTCACGATACACACACACACAATTTTATTTTTTTTCCTTAAACCCATAGTTCTCTTTTAACTGCTTCCCGTGATTTTTTTTTTTTATTTATTTTTTTTCATTTCTGGGTAGGGGGCACGCACCCTACCTGTGCCGCCATTCAGAGCCACAGCTGTCAATCACCAGGTCCTGGCCGGTGATTACCGAGCATCTCCAATGGGGGATAACTGTTTGTAAACAAAACCTTTCTCTCCCCTGTCAGCTCCGTGCAACTGCGTCGCATGGCCCCTAGTAAAATGCACACAGTTAAACCTTTGATTGCCCCATGTGTTAACCTCTTCCTGCCCAGTGCCATTAGTACAGTGTCAGTGCTTTTTATTAGCACGGATCACTGTATTGGTGTCACTGGGGATGTCAGTGACACCAAGTCAGTTCCCCCCAGTATATATAATCAGTATAAATTTCATGGAAAGCAATATACACATATTGGGATTATTTATTTATTTATTTTTAGCAAAGACATGTAGCAGAATACATTTTGGCCTAAATTTATGACTAAATTAGATTTTTTTAAACACAAATTTTGTGGGAAAAAAAAACCCACTATATTTACTTTTTGCTATTAAACATGTCCAGTAAATTTATTTATTTATTTTTTTTTTTTTATAGCGCAGAAATATACACTGCACAGGCTATCAAATACCACCAAAGGAAAGCTCTATTTGAGGGGAAAAAAGGACGTAAATTTCTTTTAAGTGCAGCGTTGCACAACCGTGCAATTGTCAGTTAAAGCAATGCAGTGCCGTATCGCAAAAATGGCCTGGTCAGGAAGTGGGTGGGGTAAATCCTCAGGAGGGCAAGTGGTTAATCCCCTTTTTGACTCCTGCCTGGTGAAAAATGGCTTGTGTAAATTGTTAGGGCGTCATCAAGATAAGATTGCCAGGTTGATGATGCCACAAATTAGCATGATAGAGACTTTTCACAGGTTTGTGATTGCTAAAAACACCAATGACATTGTATTCACTTCCTTGTGAGCATTTGATGCTTGTGCAGTGAATGCAGATGTTGTCCAATAACATTGTTGCAACCTGGGGATTCATTTTGGCAGAGAATATTTTTGCAATAGATTATAATCAGATATATTGCAGAGTATGTCTCTCATACAAGTTCCAGCACTGTGCAGACTTCAAGGAGAAGCCGTGAGCTAATCACACAATAGTTGACATTTTTAAAGGGGGGGGGGGTATTCTAGACAGAAATAGTGTCAGATATTGCAAGAAAGAACAATTTGCATATTGAGCTGCAGCAAAAAAACCCAAACAATTTTACAATATTTGTTTTTTATTTTTTATCTTTCTAGGAGGCAACATTCGTCTGATACAAATGGCTGTGGCTCTAACCCATGTTAGGCATGTGGCTCATGAACTTTACCCTGGCATTCCTGTCATATTCTGTGGGGATTTTAATAGCACACCTTCTACCGGTATGTACAGCTTCGTAACAGATGGGACCATCTCCGAAGACCATCCTGACTGGATGTCTAATGGGGAGAAGGAACGCTGTAACATGTCTCTTAGCCACCCTCTAAAACTGAAGAGTGCTTGTGGGGAGCCTGCTTACACCAATTATGTAGGGGGCTTTCACGGCTGTCTAGATTATATATTTATTGACTCAGACAGTTTAGAAGTGGAACAAGTCATTCCAATGCCAAGTCACGAAGATGTCACCAGCCATCAGGCCTTACCCAGTGTTTCACACCCCTCTGATCATATAGCACTTGTGTGTGATCTCAAATGGAAATAGGGCAACTTTGTAACAGAATATTTTTATGCTGCATTAACAACAATTATAAAACATCTTCAGCACAGTTTGTTTTGGGATTTTTTTTTCCTTCCATGGAGTTGGATATTAAGGTGGGATGATAGCTAAACCGACCAAGTTTTTTTTTTTTTTTTTATTCTTCTTACTGAGAATTGTTTTTTCCTATGCTGTTGGTAGTCTGCTCTATACAAGAAATGGAAAAACTTTCCAAAAACAGTGACTTTTTTTTTTTTTTTTTTAAGGATAAGTTTGCCTTTTGATAAAAAACAATAAATGCACATTTTTTTTTTTGCAGGTAAAAAAAAGTGTGCATTTATATTTTTGTGGTGCAGAAGCATGAGAAGCATTGCACCAGCGACCAGCAGATTGCTGGTGCTCTGCAGGTCTTCTGCAGATCTGTCAGTATATGTGCTTGCACGGACGGGATGTATGAGCAAGCAGATATATTAACAGGAAGATTCAATGGACTACCATGGCGCTCCATAGCTGTCCCGACTGTTGGGACTTGTAGTTTCTCATTCACAGAGAGGAGTGACATGGCCGTGTGGGTGGAGCCCTGCATGACCAAATTTTCTTTAAAATTGACAGCTAGCAGTGTGCAGAAGATCAACCACTAGCTGTCAAAGCGTGAACTTATCCTTTAAGGCAAACGCTACTTTTTGCAACATACACTTATATTTAGGGTGTAGTATGTTGCCTGTGTGCAGGGGTTCTCCTCAGTTGCTTTTATTTTTTTAAATTGATAGGGCTCTGCAGGGCCCCACCCACACACCTGCATCATTTATTCAGTGATCTGTGAATGAAATACAGGTCCTGTCTGCCACTGCAAGACAGACTTGTAGTTCTCAATGGAATACAAGTGCAGTGATCACTGTATTTATAATCCATTGACTCTTCTGGTACAGGTAGAGAGTCGAAAGAAGAGCCTGCAATTGCATCAGCAATCTACTGATGAAAGGTGAAATGCTTTGCAGGTTTATGTGAAAAAAGGCCATTTTGTTTCCTGTAAAAATATGTGCACTTAATTAATTTAGCCATTAAAGTGCAGTAAAAAAAATGGGCCCCCAGATGGTTTTAGCCATAATATGCACACCATAGCACATTATGGTGTTTACCTGTCAAAGGAAGCCCTCCAGCACTGAACTGTCAACACTGGGGCATTTCCATCTTGCCTGGTCTTCCTTTTGGATTCCATGCTTCAATGGCTGGGCTGGAATGACATCAAATCCATGCATGTGCATGGAAGTCACAACACCAAGGCACAGATCGGTGCTGTTAAGTACACTGAGCTGCCGTGTACATTACAGCTGAGGGAGGCATTTATGACAGCAGCCTCTTCTGTCATAAAAACCCTGCCTGCAATTTTTTTAAACCAGGGTTTAATACCACTATAAGTGTATCTTAATGCAAGAACATAAATTTAATATTGCAGCTCACCAGTCCTTAGATTTGGTTGCATTGTAGGTTTTTTTTTTTTTTTGCTTTTTCATGATGCTGCAACAGTTCCTGACCTAGGGTTGCACTGTATATGTAGATAGTGTTACCCTTGGACAGAAACTGTTAAGACTACAGAACACCTCATAATAACTTAGAAGAAAAGTGTTCTATAGTCTACAGCGAACTGAGAGTGCTGAGAACAGTCGGGAAGAGAGCACCAGATTTCAGGAGTTGATTTCATATTTTTTTTTTTTTTTTTGCATTCTGAGATATCTGATATCAATGGTGTTTTTAACAGACAAAAAGGGCGCAAGGTACAGCAGAGGAGAGCTAGGACATCTGTATTGTCGAATTGCGATGAAATAAGACATGAAGACAAATTTCACTGGGGTGGGGGGGTGTTGATGCCCAGGAATAAGAACTTGACTGACATTCTAACTCTTCTATAGTCTCTAAAAAATGTGGAACTTCAGTCAAAAACCTTTTTTTTTAAACTGCAGTAGCTGGGATACTGCAACACAGAGCTGGCATCAATGGTTTGATTTTGGTAGCAGCCTGCAGGTTTCCTACAGTGCTCATTCAGATATTGGTAACATGGATCTGATTTTGGCTGCTCTAAAGAGACACATACAGAATTTTCATACTGCTTTTAAATATAAAATGTGTACAGATGCTGTCATTGCATATAATTTTTTGTTGCCCTGTCAGAATAGCCTTGTTTTTCTTCACCCACTGACACTTCTTGGCAACCCTCACTGCTCTCTCCTGGCCCACCAGGGTATTCGTCTGCTGCCTGTACAGCCTCCAGCACTTTAAATAACAGGTGACAGTGGAGAACAGGTCAAGTGTTGTTTTTTTTTTTTCTTTCTATTAAATAGAAACTCACTGCTAATTTGCAGCAACTCTGCCACATACTGCTTCAGGCGTTAGAAGCTTCACAGCAGGACCAGCACTACAGAAATCACAGTGGCTATGTTGTTAGCACTTATGCCTGGCAGCACTAGAGATGTCAGTCTGAATGCCAACCAAGGCAGTACCTGCCTGGTGCTTGCATGTTCCTGCATGGGTTTCCTCCAGGTACCCCAGTAGGTTGATTGGCTCCTATCTAACTTAGCGCTAGTACAGGGGTTGAGCAACTGTAGCCCTCCAGCTGTTGATGAACTACAAGTCCCATCATGCCTCTGCCTTTGGGAGTCATGCTTGTAACTGTCAGTTTTGCAATGCCTCATGGGACTTGTAGTTCTACAACAGCTGGAGGGCCACAGTTGCCCACTCCTACTCTAGTATATAAGTGAGTTAGGGGCCTAAGATTGTCAGCTGCTGGCATGCACAGTACAGGGGCAGACAGGTAAGTAATTGAAATGCAGAAGAAAAATCATGTTTGCCCTTTTTTTGCACATAAAATTCCATTTAAAATAAATGCATCATTAGCGTAAATGAGTGCCTTGTTTATCCAACTGGAGCGGTTTGCCGTCAGCTTACGCATCTCTATGGGACAGTTGCTCGTCCTGTTGTGATAGGTGTGCACAGGCAGTCAGTACTCCCAAATAAATATACTGTCTGCATTTAGGGCTACTCACTTATCCCACAGCCTGTCACATTAGGATGAGCAGCCATGTACAGCCGCTACATCCCTATATAGCCTGCCTGCAGCTCCATAAACAAGGCACTCATTCGCTCTGTGTTTGTGAGAATGAAGCCTACAGGGGATTAGGCCAAAAAAAAAATGTAAACATGTTGCCACTTTCACACCTGCAATTCATGTAATGTTTCATGTTGAAAGCAGAAGTGGTGTAACATTCTTTTGCTTCTGCTGTGTGATGGGACACCTAGCTAACAGGTGGGAAGCCTCACATTCATTGTGTGCCCTGGTAGTAATAGGGAATCATGTCAGAGCTGACAGCTTCAAAAGAGAGCAAATTGTAGGCGCCCAGTTAGCATAGGACTGATATTAGCCTCCCTACTGGTATGATTGTCAGTATTTCTGTGCTCAAAGCGGTACTTTTTTTGCATGGAAATGTCTTTTTTTTTTTATTGTAGGCCTGTCTAGTAAAGTAAACATCCCGGGTATGTTAAAATTTGAAACAATCATAAATAATAATTTAATTCAATAATGTAATCAAACCAAAAACAATGAAATTTGAAATATAGCACCAAGTTTGCACATCACTGATCTTAGTCGCAAAATTGTTTTCAGTGTCTGACGAATTTCCCCACGAATCATCACTCAATTCTGCAAGTGGTTCTAACTTACTATCGCTGGTCTAAAAACCGCTTTTTGGACGCCATGGACATTTCTCAGTTTCCAGGCAGAAAGAACAGTAAAAATGCAGGCAGGGCACAAAACAAAGCACTCGGGACAAAATGTATGTGAAATTGTTTGATACAGTATTGTTTTACTATGATTTTATAGTGTATTAGTAAATCGCTTTTTCAAATTTTTTAATTTCCCTCCGGTTACGGCGTCGGCTGGAGGAGATGATCAGTGACGCTGCGGGGAGACGTCACAGGAGCAAAGGACAAGGTGGTGTAACATTCTTTTGCTGCCGCTGTGTGATGAGACACCTAGCTAACAGGTGGGAAGCCTCACATTGACATTGTGTGCCCTGGTAGTAATAGGGAATCATCGAGAGATCCCAGAGCAACGCTGCAGGGTACGCCCGAGTGTAGCTCGGGGTTACTGATTGTGGTGCTGAAACTTTCCCCCGAGCTACACTCGGGAATACCACCAGGGAGGTTAAACTCTGCAGTCACTTTTACAGCACTTGTTTTTTTTTACTCTGGTCACAATCATGTGCAGCAACCTGTGGTCTCAGTGCGCTATGTCAGCCACGCTTATGCAGAAACGGTTTCCCAGAAACTCTATATGCCGCCATAACCTCTGATACTGTACCTCGTGACATGGCAAATAAATTGGCAACTTCACTCAGAGGCACCAGCAATTTGCCATTTGAGGCTCCGTAAGCTCTGACATGACTATTACCGGCAGCTCACAGTGAATGAGGAAAGTGAGTCTTTGCTGCCACTGTGTGATGAGACCCCAAGCCAACAGGTGCAAAGAGTGTTACATCACTTCCGCTTTCAATGTGAAAATGTCAATTGCACACCCGCAAACCTTGTAGTGTTTCCATTTTTTTGGTCTAACCCCTGTATAAGTGTCAGAGGGTGAAGGATATTGCAGAGCTTTAAGCAACATAATGAATTGCTATAACAGTATACTGAACTGTTTAAGTGTTAATTTAAAATATTTTATATATGAGCACTGTGAAATGAATTACACGATAACCATGTCCCTTTAAAAGCAACACACCACAACTGATAGATTTGAACGGGCCCTACAAAGAATTTATTAAAACACCATACATTTTGTAGAATCCGCTGCCTGATGCCCTTCTCAGACATTACATATGAATTGTGGGAAATTATTGCTACTTTTATGCAGAATTCAAAAATGTCTGCAATCATAAGTTCCTGAAATGTTTATTTTGTGCCCTGACACCCAAGTTCTTTTTCTAATGGGCTCCAATTATAAAAAGCAGCATGGCCCAAACACTGCAACATTGCTTCTTTTCCATTCGGGCGCCTTTAGGACGTTTGTAAACTGCCATTAAGCATATCTCATGTGTTAAATTCCCAATCATTCCAATGAGAGGAAGAGAAAAAAAAAAAAAGTGCCGGGAGTAGGAAATCTTCATACTGGCCACAAGAACATGTTCAGTTTACAAAAAGCTTAAAAAACACTATAGCATTCACCCAACAACAGACCACCCAATGTTTTAAGTTTCCACTCAATGAGCAAATATTTTACTTGGGTTATGTACGGTTCAGCCTGTGATTTGAGCACACTGTACAGGCTTGGTACCACAGCACTACCCTTGAGTACTTGGGATAAGGTTAAAAGAATACTCCAGTGAAATGATTTAAATGTCACACTAGGGTAAGTATGCATCAAAAAGAAAACTGATGGTATACCAAATGCAGCAACACCAGCTATCTCACCTTTAAAAATAACTTTACACATAGATATTTCTACTAAGTTACACTGGTCCAGCTTGCACCAATGAAGCATGCATAGGTCATACCTGGAGTCCCTGTGGAAGCTGGAAATCATTGTAGTAGGCACAACTCCTACAGTGATTGCCACTAGCTTCCAGATCCCATGCCAGTTGGCTACCCTACTAAGTGAACACAGCAGGTTGGATGCTTGCTTGCCTTGGCCACCATACCAATACTCACCTCTGCTCCGATGTCCAAAGGTCCTCACCACCTTCCAGGTATTTAGCTGCTTTGATTGGCTGGCACAGAGCTGAGAATGTGTCCTGCAATAAAAAGCCTAACTGCAATTTGTAAACACTTCAGTTCCACTGTGACCCTTTACAACTGGCTAACAAATGTGGGACAGCAAAAGGTGGAGCTTTAAACACCCACATGCCACACAAGTGTGGACATTAAAGCCCACCTCTTTTGCTTTAGTGCATAGGAGCCGCCGGGCAGCCGATGCTAATGTGCTGAGTGCACAGACGATTGGGCATACCCTACTCATACGGCTACATATCCACTTCCTTGCTTCGGCAGCTTTTCACACATTAATTTCAGTTTGGCTAAAAAAGGCAGAACATTATTTTCCAAATGTAGAGGCCCTGTAGAAATAAAATGGTGGTTTGCAACCATAATATCAAGCATTAAAACTGCATGAGCTCACAAAATGGCAAAAGGAGCTCTGGGTCCTGGGGTGAAAGCCTGGGGCAACTCTGAAAGTGATCCAACGGCTATACAGCCAACTGGATCACTTTTAATGTAAAGCTGGGAGCCAGCTGAAGAAAGCAGATACAAGCTCATGGCTGCTACTGAAGTCCTGTAATTGTTTTAAAACCGCTAGACTTTAGACGTACTACATATGTCCAGAGATTAAGTAATTAAAAAAAATATTACTGGCGAAGAATGAGGAAAAAAAAAAAAAAGCTCTCAGCTGTAACAAGCAGAGATTACTCAGGGAACTATTGTGGGTTCCATTAAATGTTGTATAACGGAGAGCATATAGCAGTATCTGCGCTCTGTGATAAAATTAGCACCTTAGGGCCACTTTGTTATGGGGATAGGAATGAGGGAGAAGCTTCTGATGTCAAGATTAAGCTCCATCAACTGGCTCCCTACATCAAATGGTCTAAAACAGTGCTATGGTTCTGGTCCTAGTTATGTCAGGGAAAGTCAAGCAACATTAACAAGTCAATGTAAATGACAAAGGCTCACAGATGTGTTTCTAGCTAATGAAAGTCAATAGCCAAAATCTGCATCACTAACAAAAGTGTGAAAATACAGTAAAACTAAAGTCTAAGATTCACATGGGTCATATTCTATAGGCATGCTTGCGTTTACCTGCATAGGTGTTGTGCATCCCAGTGCACGCAGTCTCATGTCAGTAGGGGTGCAGCAGCTGCAGACAGCTGTTGCACCCAATCTGTGCGGGTGTGGATGCATGTCCCGTAATGCAGTCAGTGTGGGTTCGGGGACATGCACCCCACAAATGTCAAATTGGGAGCAGCATCTGTCTGTGCAGCCACTGTATCCCAATTAACATTAATTGAACTGCCTGCACAAACACCTGTGCATCCCAGTGCAGGTAAACATGGCCCTCCCACGTGTGTATGCTATAGTACACCCTGTGTGAAGATCAGCATATCAACGATCCCAATGAGGACCACAGGAATCCTTGCCGATACAATCCAGAACAAAGACTTCTCTTTATACTGTAAAAGATCCATAGGAATGTCTGTGGAGCATCAGGTTTCATATAGATATGTACCTCCACTAGCAGTCCAGTTCCAGGTGTAGAATACAACAAGAATGTTTTTTGGTTTCTTTTTTTAGGCCTTGTTCACACCATACATGCAGAACTGATGGAAACTGATGCTGCGCAGATTTCACTTGTGGAGATATCAGTTTGCATGCGAGCATCAATGAGTTTTATACACGTTGCAGATTCCCAAGCAGAAAAAAAAAAAAAATCTGCACGTGATACTAGTGTTGTGGTGTGAACAGGGCACAGAGAAGAATTGATTTCATTGTGCCCTGCAGAACACGTGCAGAAAAACTGATGTCTCTGCACCATGTGAACAAGTGCCTTACTCTGCCACAAAGACATTCAAATAAGGCAAATCATCAGTATCAGAGCCTCGCTGTACAACATGCTTGATGGATTACAAAATCTGTGGTAAGACGGTCATATGCACATGGCTATTGGTGGAGTGCACATCAGCAGTCCAAAAGTGCACAAATGTGGCATTTCGCAGACTAATGTTCAGCACAAAGCTTTTGTGTGAAAGTGAGCTTTATCCATCCAGAAAGAATAGCTCCTGTCAAGCAGGTTGATGGCAGACGATAAGTCAACCATGCCAGACCATATGAGCGCAATCTTTACACCCAAGTGAACGGTTATCACTTCATATTGCACCTAATTACAGTAATTCCATTATCAAACAAATACACAAGTGACAAAAGGCACTTTTTTTTGTTATTTTATTAGGAATAATTCTTAGTGGGGTATGAAGAAAAACATCAAATTTGTTCAGATCGAGGAATTTAAAAAGAAAAAAAAAAATTGCATCATGAAGATATGTTCACCAATAAACAATAAAATATTTGCAGAACTATGATACAATGGGCAAAAAAACAGTAAAGCTGAAAAAGCAACATAAAAAATATCCTAACGTGAGACAATCTGCTGAGATATAAAACAAGCGGAGGCCCTTTGCTGTAAGAGTGGCTCAAGGCTACTTCATGCTGCCAGCAAAGGGGTTATTGCATGCATGCTTAGACCAGCCACGGTCAATTCCCCTCTCACCAAAACTCATTCCAAGGGGAGAGAAAAAAAAAAGGGGGCCTGACTTTCAGACTTTGTAAAAAAAAAAAAAAAAAAAAAAAAAAAAAAGGAATCGGTGTAGGTAGTTTGATAGTGTTTTTGTGTTCCCCACTGGCATCAGCAAAATTATATATATTTAAAAGAAATAACAAAAATCTCCTTTCTGTGTAGATGAGAAATAAATAGTTATGGAATGCTACGTTTTAGTTCAGCAGAATGTCTACGGAATGACACACAGGAGTCAAACTAGCAGTTCAGGGACTCTTCTTCAAAACATGGTTTAAGCAAGCGTCCGCAAAGTGTGCAATAAGTAACAGCTCTACTTGACACAGGAGAACTGCGACTGACTTGGAAATGACATTTTATGTGTTTGTTTCGAGGGGGAAAAAAAGATTACCAAAAAAAGCATTCAATTCTATAGCATCACAATAATTATGTCCAGGCATGGGGGATGGGGTGGGGGAGGAGTAAAACCAGAAACCACTTTCACATAAGGGGGGATTTATTATTTTCTGCTTTAAGTCTAGCCACATTGCTCTGAAAGCAACATGAAAACTCAGTAAATAAATGGCAACAAAAGAAATCTGGAGACTTTAGAGTTTGCTGCCCATTCCATTTCTTTAAACCATTTTTAGAACTAGTTTGGATGTTACGAGCCTAGACAACTCCTATACACTGTGTCCTTGGTGGAAGGCAAGTCCTCATTAACGCTTGGAAAGCTCATTAGATAGCCAGTCCAGTCCTTCATAGAGACCCGTGCCCTGAGTTGCACATGTTGCTTGCACGTACCACTGGAAAATGAAAAGTAATCAGTTATAAAGGGCCTGCTAATAAACACTTAAACAAAGCTATCGAATTAGCAGCAACACAACACATTTAAAGTGCACTTCTGAAAACATATTTGCCATCTTTAGGCTACGTTCACACAAGCCTTGTGTGCAGGCGGCAGAGAAGCGTTTGGGAAGCGTTTTTACCGCTTCCCAAACGCCTCTGCCAGTTCTGCACATTACAGCACATGGTGCTGTTCTAACGGGAGCGTTTGCGTCGCGTCGCGGCAAAACGGACGCCTCTGGACGAGTCAGGAGGCTTTGAAGCCTCCTATTCTCGTCTATGGTGCCGCTCCGCAAACGCCCGGCCGGCATTTGCGGTGCGGTTGCGGGGCGTTTGCGGAGCGGTAACACCACTCAAACTGCATTATAGGCGTTTGTGGGGCGTTATTAACGCTCGGCAAACACCTAGCAACCGCCGCTAAACCGCGCATGCGGCGTTTGCGGAGCGTTTGCCGAGCGTTAAAAAACGCTCTGCAAACGCCGGACCAACGCTTGCCAAACGCTATAGGGGCGTTTGGCAAACGTTGGCAAAACAGCCTAGTGTGAACGAGCCCTAATAGTTAAGGACACCAAGCAAGCTTGCAAATATTGAGTTTTGGATTCACAACCAAGCTTGGAAAAAAAAAAAGTCCACTTTTAAGTGGTTATAAAGGCTCAAGGTTTTTTTTTTTTGTTTTTTTAACACCTTCATACATTCTATGCATGTATGAAAAAAAGAAAAAAAAAAAAAAAAAAGTAAAGCTTACCTGACTGAGCCCTATCGTGATCCAGGGTTGTGTACAGAAGTCTCGGATCTACTAGGTCTCTCCCTCCTCACAGACAGCAGCAAAAGCCATTGGGTCCCGCTATTGTCAATCACAGCCAATGGGGCTGAGCCACACTGTATGTAAATGGACAGAGCAAATGCATGGGTGCCCCCATAGGAAGCTGCCTTGGGGGCACCTGGCAGAAGGGAGTGGTCAGGAGTGCCAGCAGTGGACCCAAGAAGAGGATCAGGGCTGGTCTGTGTAAAACCATTGCACAGAGCAAAGTATGATAAATTTGTCAAAAAAAAATTAAAAATCTTGCCTTTAAGACCCTTTCAAACTGATGCGCTTTTCATACATTCCCACTGACTTACAATAGAAGGTGCACTTTTCAAAGCACAGCACAACTGCAGTGTGAACAGTTACATAGGATTGAATAGGGAATAGTTTTCAAGTGCTTTTTTCGCCCTGGAAAAGCACACCAGTGTGCAACAGGCCTTAAGGTGGGAAAGCACCGCCCTTTTTATTTCAAGAATCAAACCAAAGGCTTCCAGTCCACACCTATAAATCAAAGTTAAAGGATAAGTTCACCTTTGAAAACATGTTCCATTTTTAGGGTGGAACATTTCAATGCTGCAACCACTGCCGGATCTCCCTCTCCCTGACAGCAGTACAGGGAGAAGATCCCCATGCAAGCTGTCACTTTTTAAAAACACAGCGCGGCCGTGCGGGGCTCCACCCAATTGGCCACATCATTCATTCACAGAGACCTGTGAATGAATGAACTAAGTCCCGGACAGCCTTAGCGGCTGTTGGCTTGTAGCTCTTATTGAACTATCATGGCACTGTGGAGCACCGTGGTAGTTCGATTCTTCCTGTTTATCTGCTTGCCCATACATCTCATTCGGGCAAGCAGATATTCTGACAGGTCTGCAGCAGACCAGCATGGCACCAGTGATCTGCTGATCGCTGGTGCAATGCTTTACAGGCCCCTGCAACAAAAATAAATGCACATATCTACCTGCAAAAAAAGGTGCATTTATTTTTTGTCAAAAGGCAAACTTTCCCATTAATTATGCTTTACCTGCCTTTGGCTTTTCCAACACACTTAAGGACTGAAGCAGACTGGTCAAAATTTTCTCTTTACTCTCCTTGGTGTGTGCCTAAAATTTGTGCAGTAGTGTGGAATTGTGTTGCAGTATGAAAAAGCTGCATTTCAAGACTACATTAACACCCAGTCCTCTTGTCTGCATGGGGTGTTCATCTGCAGCATGCTCTGATGGAATTGGGCATGTAACCTGCCCAGCAACACCCACTCCAAGTCTACATTTACCAAGTTACTTCTCTGTGCAGAATATACAGAACTTTGCATGCTACAGCTATGTGCTGTAGAAAAAGTAAGATGTGCAAACTAATCAGCACTTTTATCATAAGGCCCACCCCTGCTATTCACAAAACCACAATAACATGTAGTCCCAGAGCAGTGTTGAATGTTACAGATCAGTACAAGCTTAGAGGCCAGCATTAATCCAGGAAGTCAGGAGTGTATTTTGACACTGCCCCAATTTCTTTCAATTTCTAGTAGTTAAATACAAGTAAATTGTTTTTCAATGAGGCAGGAACACGCATAGGGAAGCAATACTCACAATCCTGTTACGGAGTGTCTGAAGTGTCAGCTTGTCAGTCATCTCACTGATGGCCATGGCATTGGGCAAATCTTGTTTGTTTGCAAACACCAACAACACTGCCTCTCTCAGCTCGTCTTCCGAAAGCTAAAATGAAGGTGAAAACTGTTATATTCAAGAACTCTAAGTTGCATATTTATAAGAACTGTCCCATTGGGTTCTGCATTTGGAACAGTCTGAAAGGATTAAAGGTTTCTTTGACATTGTGGGAATCAGGACAATAAATATATATATTTAACTAGATACACCTATAGCACATATAGGTCCATGTCTTTGGGAGGTAAACAAGACGACACCACCACTGCCAGGTTATCAGCTTATTCCCAGAGTAAAAAATGATTGAAAGACAAAAAAAAAAAAAAAAAGGCAATTGTCTAGATCAGGGGTGGGCAAACTGCGGCTCTCCAGCTGTTGCAGGACTATACAAGTTCCATCATGCATCTGCAAGTCATAGCTGTAACTGTCAGTTTTGTAATGTTGCAATGCCTCATGGGAAATGTAGTTCCACAACAGCTGGAGAGCCGCAGTTTGCCTACCCCTGGTCTAGATCTAACCAGGAACAACTTGACCTGACAAAAATGACAATTATTATTGTTTTGCGAGTACCTTTAGGAATCGTTCTCATGTATGTAAGCCCTTGCAAAAAAACAAGAGGAAAAAAAAAAAAAAAAAAAAAAAAAAAAAAAAAAAAGGACGATGGACCACTTTTCAGATGATGCTTGACAAGCAATAAGGAATAAGGCGAAATGTTAAAACACCTGTTTTAACCCTAAAAAGGCTGAACCCTGATACTGCAACTATGCATGTGTTTACAAGGAGGTCCAACACTTAATGTAACAGTTTATTTTTGTGTACAGCTCTGAGCAGCTGCACATCTTTTTTTTAGATGAGCTGTTGAGGAGCAGTAAAACTGCAACTCATCCACCTGCTTTTTCCATCCCCTGGTTGCCCATGTGAACGAGCCCTTATTAGGCAATTGTGGGAAGGAACGGAGAGTCAAAAATGCTACCATACCCAAGTACCATGTTCAGGAATTTACCAACAATACTGATATGGGCGATTTAAATTTTACTGAATACCAACCAGAATCATAAGTTCCAAAGAAAAGCTCTTCCAGCCAAGCATAACAATGCTTTTCCATTGACAATTATGCTGCAAGTGGCTGAGCACACTATTTCAGTAGTTTGTGATCCAATAGCAGCGATGTTATTAGAACACAAGGAAAACACGCACTGCTCCATAGATATAGCTTACCATTTTCAGTAACTCTTCCGATGCTTCCTGGATTCGCTCTCTGTCATTACTATCTACAACAAAAATGAGGCCCTAGAAAGAAAAACACATTTCTGATAAGCTGTAATACGAACATATTGCTCAACATTCCAGTAATACCAAGTGGCCTACATAATACTGTAAGCACAGAATGTATCCACAGCCAGCACTGCTTGTCATGAGCAGATTTTATGGGGGCTAAACAAGCGATGACAATGGGATTGGGATGCAGGTATCATCCAGAATTCTGGAAAGTCCTATCCACTTATAACACTTGGCATAATACCTCAGAAACAAAGTGATCATTTTAAGGCAAGCATGTCATACTGGTTGGGCTGAAGGGGTAACTCCTAATCCTTTCTTGTGGCCCACTTTTATGCTGAACAAAGTTCCAGGTGTTTAATGGAGTCATTATTGGCTACATTTCATGTACATTTTGCAGTTCAGAAAATGTTTTCTTGCACAAAGCTTCCTCAACAATTAGCCTTTAAAAGGTACAGCTCTGTTTTTGATACTTTGACTTGCACAAGTACTACTCTGATGCAGTACCCTACTTCAGTGATACATCAATGCATTAAAAAAAAATGTGTGTGTGGTCAAGGCTTGTCTAGATGGTTTTGGATAGTTTTAAGAAAGTCTAGTTTGCTGTACCAAATAGCACTTAATTTATGTTAGGAAAAAGGAGAGCTCATGGCATTCACAGAGTATAGGCATAGGTTATTCAAAGCTACAAAACAGATATAGATATTGTTCATCTAACTTCAATAAAAGATACCTGTGTATTCTGGAAGTAATGCCTCCATAGGGGTCGGATTTTATCCTGACCACCAACATCCCAGACAGTGAAACAGATATTTTTGTATTCTACCGTTTCCACATTGAAACCTAAAAATAAGGAAAAAAAAAAAAAAAAAAAAGAAGGATTTAAAAGTGCACTTTAGAAAAATCAGGCCTACATAACACATTGGTTGCAATGCATAGCTGCACCAGTTGTGATGTATTCCCCTCAATCAGCTTCTTTCATTTTCAACGCTTAACTGAACAGAATGAGGATAGAAGCTGATTGGTTGCCATGCACAGCTGATTCTGACTGCTAAAAACGTTCTCACCTCCCATTATGTTGTTGGAAAACCATAAGCTATCTATACATATTCTATAGAGCCTGATGCAAAACCTGCGACCCGAGGGCCACATGCAGCTCTTTGGTGTTTGCAATGCAACCCACAGGCCCCAGCAGTCAGTTGGAGCACTTATTTGTAAAGGGATCTTCATTAACCACAAATTCTACCAGTAACATGTCCCTAGTCTCGGACTGTCACGTACAGCATGACTTGTACGCCAAGCACTCCTGTAGTGCAGTTTCTAGCCATTTACTCTACAAGTCTGTAAGTCTTCTGTAGCCTTACATATAACATTACATGTGGCCCTTTGGAGACATCAGTTGTGTTTGAGCTCTCACAGATTTTAATTTGACAGCTGCTGCTATAGAGATTAGATCAGGGTGACCAAGTAACCTGTAGGATATAAATGCTGGGGTATGTTCCTAAAACGCAGCTGAAGAAGCAGTTTAGATGTGCAGTACAACGTTTTTACCATTACAGAACAAGTCCCGGTGGATGTGACCAACTTCTATAAATCCCACCTGCTGTGAGGTTACTGTGAGCAATAAGTAGCAATGAACCCAATATGGATCAGAAGCTTCCATTCACTGCCACTGAACACAGCGGTTATCCATAGAAACAGTCAGTAAAATGTACTCACCAATCGTTGGGATGGTTGTGACAATCTCTCCGAGCTTCAGCTTGTACAGAATTGTTGTTTTACCAGCGGCATCAAGACCGACTGCAAGGAGAACAAATTGCCATTAAGTTTGGTTCTTGGGACACCAATAAAATCCAACATGGCAGTGTTTACCTGAAGCAACAACTATGCTTTAATGCTATTATAGAAGATAAACTGGAGGGGTCATTACAGGGGCCAATTAGATTCCGGCGTAACAGTGATAGCCAACCCTTAAATAATTACTACATGGAAACACCAATTTACTTTGCTTTTTGCAAATTAGCCCTACAACAAAACATTCAAAAAAGGTACCACAGCAAACACCTTTTACCAAAAAGGCTGGAAGACAGAAGTCATACCAGACATTTATTGTGCATGCCCTAGACTCCTAATAGGAGAGTACAGCAACATTCTACTCATTTATACTGAATCCTGTCCTCATAAGGAGGGCATTAAAGCGACTTAGGGCAGAGCTGGAGAAATCCCAGGCACCAGGTTACCATGGAGACTAGAAATTGCATCCTGGAGCCTGGGCTTGTGTCATCTCATTCACTCTCCAGAGGTGTCTCCTCCCAGCACACTCAGGCCATCCTCGGTGCTCAATCATCAGCTGTTAGCATGCATGCTGAGTGCTGCCTAGTCTCAGCATAGGGAGGGCTGAAGATCTTGGCCTGGACCTGAGGTGGGGCTTCCTCAGCCTCACAGTGTGTGAAGGGCACCAGGAGAGCGGCAATCATCTTCCCTGGTTGCTGGATGGAGCCCAGAGCTTGTCTATCGAGGCCTTGTACCGGGGGAGGAGGAAGAGGATCAGGGGAGCATCAGTGCTGCCATCATGGCTCAGGAGACAGTGGAGCTGGGACGTGGAGATGCAATGGTAGCCTGTGGAGGTCCAAAAGTGCCCCCCCCATATTAACGGACTCAGGTGAGGCTGTGGGTGTAGGTGTATGTGTGTGTTGGGGGGGGGGGGGGGGGGTTTGGGGCTGGTGCCGTGCATTGTATGAAGCATCAGAAATCAGGTGACCGTGGATGATGCGTTCAGGATGGAGACAACCCGTGGATTTCCAGCTGTGACGCTGCAGCACTCAGTATTGTACCTGCTGGTGGGACATGCTAGTATATGTAGTTCTTCAAAGCCTGGCATGTTGAATAACGTCTAATGTGGGGATGGGCATTGTCTGACTGTCCGTTTCAACACCCCCCCGAGCTCTTTGGCATTGAAAATAAGCTTAATATATTAAAGTGGAACTTAACTTAAAAGAGAAAGTTCTGCTCATGCCTTTCTCTGACAGGTACCTGTTGCCCACTTCCGCAATTCCTGCCTGGCCAAGAATTATGCTAATTTGGCCTCCCCAGTCTCCTGAGATACGTCACAGGACCCAGGAGGCTGCGGGATCCATCAAAGTACAATGCAATCTTGCACATATGCAGTGGGAAGCCCGTTGTGAAACAGCAGGAAGTCACAGTCAGCTCCCACAGCAAAGCTAGGGGTGCCGTAGATCTGAAACATAGCAAGTATCGGCTCCAGTGAAGAAAGCGATGGACTCCTGGGCTTGCGTCAGTATTTGTAGCTAATGACTTAAAGTGGAAGGAAAGTCAAAACTTAAAGTAAGCTTAATCCCCCTCCCACCCCCATGCCAAGCCTATTCTACCTACCATCTGAAAGGAAAGATGTCTATACTTGCCCAATGCGAGGACGCTCCAGTCCAGTCACATGTTCAGGTTCCAGCACCGACTTCAGTGCAGAAGAGAGACAGCTGACAACAGACGCTTCATTGTAATCCTATAGGTAATGTCACCGTCCAGGCTCTGCAGACTTTGTCGGCATGCTCTTCTCTTTACTGAAGCCACCACTGCAGCGATCATGTGACTGAACTGGGCAAGTATACATAGCTTTCCTTTCATAGGGTAGATGAATATGCTGTGGGAGCAGGATTAAACTTAGTTCGGTTTTAAATTGGCTCCACTTTGTTTTTAAACCGGACCAAAGTTCCTCTTTATTAATCTATGAAAAAATAAATAAATACAAATCGCACTAGTAAACGTTGCTACGAACTTACTCTGCATGAACTGCAATGGAGGAAAAAAAAAAAAATAAATCTTAAAAGATTAATTATCAGAGGTGTGTAAAAAAAGGTCCATGTCAGAATAGCCAAAACAGGTTGGGCCAGTTCACCCTATGAACCAGTTTACAGTCAACAGATTTTTATTTAAAATGTATCCATCCAACATACTTGAGGCTGGAATCAACACTGGCCATGATCTTTTTTTCAGTGCACCAGGATGTTTGAGACAAAACAAATGCAGTCCAGATGCGTTTCAGCATGAACGTTTTTGATGCATTCCATTCTCCCCCCTTTTCTGCAAAGATTCCTGGTTTTTTTAGCTGTAATGCGTTCATGTGTTTAATGTGTTTTGCTGCATTCCAGTGCAGTTATTTGCAGAGAAAATGCTGCATGTTTTACGTTTGTTGACTGTACTGGAACAAGAGTGTGAACTTTGCCAATGGAATCCATATAAACTACGGTCAGTGCTTTTTTTTCCTGCATCAGAAATGCAGACTGCATGTGGTGTGAACTGGCCCAATGAACTTTAAAAATGTGAGTACACCCATTTCTACAGAGGAAATATTGCAGGTTTTATGTTACATACATATACCTTCTGAAGTTTTGCGTGGTTCCATTCATTCCAAACTGCACCCTAACGCACAAGTACTGTAGGTACTAGACTCCAATCTATCCTTCCAGCCTCATGTCCAGTCGCTGGCAAATTCATGCAGGCTCCACCTTCACAACATCTCCAAAATACGTTCGTTCCTAACCCCAGACACTACTAAACAACTCATTCACTCCCTTATCTCACGACTCGACTACTGCAACTCCCTCCTCACCGGCCTACCTCATCACAGACTATCCCCGCTTCAGTCTATCCTGAACTCAGTGGGCAGACTCATCCACCTTACCAACCGCTCCATATCCGCCACCCCCCTCTGTCATTCCCTCCATTGGCTTCTGATTGCCCAAAACATAAAATTCAAACTACTGACACTGACCTACAAAGCCATTCATAATACTGCCCCAAACTACCTCACCGACCTAATATCCAAATACCACCCAAAACGTACTCTTCGATCCTCACAAGACCTCCTACTCTCCAGTTCCCTGGTCTCCTCCTCCCATGCCCGACTCCAGGTCTTGCCCCATCCTCTGGAACTCACTACCCCAATCCATCAGACTGTCATCTACCCTCCTCACCTTTAGGCGCACCCTAAAAACCCATCTCTTCAGGGAAGCCTACCCCGCCCTCACCTAACAGCCGATCTCCTCCACTCCTCCTACCACTCCATCCCACACTTCCTCCTGTACCACTATCCCCTCCCTCCTAGATTGTAAGCTCCAAGGAGCAGGGCCCTTGAATCCCTCGTGTATTGTTTTGTTCCTGTATTGTCTCATGTACTGTCCCCCACTATAATGTACAGCGCTGAGCAAACTTTTTGGCGCTATATAAATCCTATATGATAATAATAATAATAATAATAATGTGCTGACAGGCCTGTGCTGCATTGCACATTCCAAAATTTGTTTTGCTCCAATTTTTGCTATGTGATGCACTGGCAGCTCAATGGATTAGGTTGTCTACGCATGTGTGACAAAAATCTCAACACTGAAATGATTTCTGACATGGCGTGGTGACACCTACTGGTGACAGAGCAATCATCCGCACCCTGCGCTACAATCCACTGGAGGATTAACAACATGAGTCTATGCAACACGCAGCCAAAATTCACCATTACAAAAATGCAAACAGGAGTGTGAGCAATAAAATACTAAGACTGGCCATAGATGATTTTTTTTCCAATCTGAAAAAAAAACACAAAAAAAAAGGATTCCTGCCTTCACACAAGCAAAAAGCAAAGTGAATCTGCCCGTCTGGGTCAGAGTTCTAACAGCAGGCACTTTCCACTGTCAGAATACACTGATTGAATACAACTTCTCCAGCAGACTCGATAGACCTCTTGAGTTGGAATGAGTATAAAATGGATTCAAATTCTTGGGGTAGCTGCTGAACTGGAGAAATTTAGATCTATGACCAAATTTAGTGCACTGTGTCACACTGTGCCAGTGTGTTAGAATCAGCCACCGTACAAACAAGGTTTTTTTTGTTTTACTATTTTCACATGCAGCTTAGCACAAAGTATGACATGAAATGTCAGGAGAGATGCAAACAAATTATGGATCAAGGCACTTAGCTAGCTGGGTATTATTACAAAGACACCCTTAAACATAAGAGTAAATATCAGCAACCTTTGTTTTTTCACTGCTATTGAAAAAACTACCTATAACTTAAAGCCGTATTAAACCCAAAAGCAAACATTTCATTGCAGCTTACCAACCCTTAGAAGGGAAGGCTGCAATAGTTTTCTTTTTTGGGCTATTTTCATGTTGGCAGTTAGTCTGGTTTTCAAAAGAACCGTCTTGCAATTCTAGCAGTTACAGGGCTGAGACAAACCATTTAGCACTGACAGGGGTGCCTTCAATGATCAGCTTTTATTCATGTAAAACCTTTATCCCAAAAGGAACTAAACTGTTTGCTGTAACTGCATAAAAAAGTGTTAGCTGGAGTTTGGTTTCAGTTTGTTAGTGTATTTAAATTTGTTGTACATCTAACTCTCCCCTCCAGCGGACAATGGATGAAGGAACACAGGCGAGCACCTTTTGGACAGCAGCAGAGTGAAGGCACTCTAATACAGGTGTGTTACTGGCCAGATCACCACATGAAAATGGAAGGGGGGAGGGAAAAAAAAAAAAAAAAAAAAAAAAACCTTAAAAAAAAAAAAAAAAAAAAAAAAAACAAAAAAAAAAACAAACGAATGCTGTCACCAAATCTAATGATTGATAAACTGCAATATATTACATTTTTGGTATTGGATTTAGTACCGCTTTGCGAGTGCACATCTGATTTTCAGCCTGTTGTAGAGTTGTCATCCCATTCAAATGCGTGGGCAATCTTAAAACAAGGTCCATATAACATTAAAGTAGATCTGAATGCTCAAGGTTTTTTGCTTTCATGCAT